TGATCTCCTGATCCCTGCCATTAATGTGTATGTGTACCTGTTTGTCCTGGTCTCCTTAGTCATCACTGCCCTTGCCTTGTATGTATTATGGACCCTGTTTTGTTGTCATGTTGTTTTTATTCCATTAAACCACCTTTTTTGTACTAGCACCTGGGTCAGCCATCTTGAGTCCAACCCCAGTTCTCCCTCACCCTCCTGGTGAGGGGGACTAAACCATAACACTGGGCAGTGATTTTACAGGAGCAAAGTTACTGTCGCTGTGTTTCACTCACTTTCTAACTGCTGAAACTATCAGGTACAAACCAACACACCTCTGGCTCAGTGTGTGCTTGCCGCCTGGTGTGTGTGTCCTGCTGTCAGCGCGCTGCCTTGATCCCAAAGCAACGGTGTATGAATAAAGTTCTGTCCTTCACACAAATCAGCAGGTCGCTGTGTGAAACAGCTCATGAGATGGAAAGATGGATACTTTACTGACCCTGAGGGAAGTTCAGGTGTCCAGCAGTGACGACCAAAATCACAACACCCAAAGTAAAGAAATATAGAAAAGTGTACGACTAAAATACAAGGGGAAAAAATGTAAACTAGTATGGGAAATAAGGATAAAAATAAGAGTAGAGGAAATATATATATACACACACACAGAGTAGCATATCAGGTTTTAACATATATACATATTGGGGTGGCTGTGGGTAGAGCAGTCATCTCCAAACCGGAGCTTTAGAGGTTCGAATCTCTGTGGCTCCAGTCCACATGTCGAAGTGTCCTTGGGCAAGACACTGAACCCCCGAGTTGCCCCTGATGGTTAGAGCCATTGGTGTGAGTTGGTGCCACAGATGGCTGCCTCGGTTCTGTACCGGAAACAAATTCAACTTTGTCATTACACATTGTTAGGTATTTTTAGTCAGATAGATATTAGTTAGATATTTTATGTATTAGAAATGTTTAGTGTAGACAGGACGTCTAGCTCAGGCTGTTAAATGCTTAGTCATTCTCATGGAGTACTCCAGGTTGTTCAGGTTCAAGGATACCTAGACAGAAGGTCTGTTGTTAGGAGACAGAATGTTTAATATTATTGTTATGACGTGTTGAACCATAATCGTAGTCATAATATTTTCTTATGCTTAATGTCATGTCAGAATGTTTTAGCTACACACCACATAATCAACAGACATTCACACATTGATTTTCTTCATGCTTTGACTACTGCTCTGGCCAGCTGCAAAGCTGGCACCAGGAG